AAAATGAGTGCATTTTCAAGTCACCTGTGGTGTTTCTCACGCTATTCACCCTAATTATTGATACCAGCTCTGGGCGTGGCTTTGACCAGCTCTTCAGTGCCACCAAAGAGGCCATCAGTCCCATGATCCATCTGAGGGAAAGTGTAGGGCAAGTAAGAACCTCTTCGCCTTTCGAGCGAAAGGAAAACAATTATATAATCTCCTTGAGTACAAGGGTGCGTTTCTTCGTTTTTATTGTTCTCTACCACTCGTTCAAGCCCTGTGTCTAGCAATGCCATGATTAATACACGTTGACTTGAACTGGATAAATCGAATGCGTTTTTGAAGATGACAAGTTAGAGACAATAGCAGTCAGTACTCAGGATGACAAGGGTGGTGTTCATTCTTATTGGTTGCCTGCTCACTCAGAGGCCAGGCGCTGTGTTCAGAGCTTGGTGTGGATTATCTCAGTGAGTTCTTGCACCAACCCTGGCAAGGAATTACTATGATTACCCACATATTAGTAATGAGGAGTAAGTATTTTGCTAGAGTTCCAGAGGGAAGCAAGAAGGGTGCGATGTGTGAAACAACTGGTTTTGTCATTCATGAGAAACACTTTTTGAACAACTTTAGAACATCTATTTCATTTTTTGTTTTTTTAAAGGAGGGAGCAGTTGATTAATTTATAATACTGATTGAAAACTGTTGAAGTCACGGTGATAAGGTGATTTAATGAAAAGAACAGAATTTGGAAAGAGAAGACCTGGGTTCAAGATCTGATTTGCCGCTAAACAGTTCTGCAAGTTTGAGCCAGGTCCAATGTCTTTGTGAGCTTCAGTCTCCTAATCTGTAAAATGGGGACAATACTACTTGCATACCAGGTTGTTGTGGGGCCCAAATGAGGGAATTTACATAAAGCACTGTAAAAATATACATTGTTGTTACTATTACAGATTGTTTGAAATGTGAGCCTGGCTCCAAAAAGAACCATCCTGTTTTGAATAATGCTTTATATAGACAGAAATACAGAAATTATATTTTCACAGCTAATCCCCACAACCTCATGAGGCAGGTATAAAAGTCCCCTGCTAAGGAATCTGGGACTCAGAGAGGTTCAGTAACATGCCATAATCACACAGCTAGTAAATAGCTGAGCTGAGACTCAAAACCCACACCTGCCTGGCTTCCAATGCTGTACTTTCCCCACTGCACCTGTTTGCCACTTTTTTAAATAAGCCAACATGTATACTTTTTCTTGACATTAAAAAAAAAGAAAAGATATTTATGTTCTAAAATGAACTCATCCTGATAATTCCCAATTAAGATGCTGTCATCTAGCATCTGGCTCGATTTCCTTTTGTGAAATATAGTAAACATAATTTAAGTGTAGCTTAAATGAATTGTCCAAATGGATAAAACAGGTCACCTGGGAAATTAGATTGTATGGATTACAAGAATTCAATGCCTAAGTTTTACTTAATGGACAGATATTTTTTTTTTTTTTTTTAAAGAAAATATCTTCTGGAATCATTTGACTGGTCTATCAATTTCATCATAATTTCTATGTGATACATCTATAAAACCAAACCCATTGCTGTCAAGTTGATTTTGACTCCTAGTGACACTATAGGACGGAGTAGAATTGCCCCCATGGGGTTTCCAAGGCTGTAAATCTTTATAGAAGCAGACTACCACAACTTTCTCCTACAGAAAGGCTCGCAGGTTTGAACCACCGACCTTTTGGTTAGCGACTGAGTACTTTAACCACTGCACCACCAGGGCTTCTCAGTACATCTGTACCATGAAGCAATTAAAGTAAAAATACCATAAACTGCACTAGCCCTGGTGATGGAGTGGTTAACAGCTCGGCTGCCAACCAGAAGGTCAGCAGTTCGAATCCACCAGCAGCTGCTTGGAAACCCTGTGGGGCAGTTCTACTCTGTCCTATAGGGTCGCTATGAGTCGGAATTGACTCGATGGCAACAGGTTTGGTTTTGGCTTTATGAAAACCATATTTTACACAAATAGCACCTGCCTCTTGTATGTTTGTTTGCCAGCCACGCCCTCTCCCCCACAAGGTATTTTCATAAGTACCTCTATGCCATTTTTTTTTAATGTGTTGCTGTAAAAAAAAAAAAAGAAAAGAAAAGTATAGTATCCTCACAAAAATACTTTGTGCAGAGAGGACAAGGCTGGCAAACAAACATAGAAGACGCATGTTATCTGAGTAAAAATACAGCGGTAATGAGGAACCAGCTCTGTCTTCATGGATTGGGGGTTCACAAGAGAAACACAGAGGAATCTTTGACCCAAGTTCAATATTTTACTTCTACATTGTTTTTGAAGGATTCTATTTAAAAAGTCTTATTATAAAAAGAAATTAGAGAATTTTCTGGCCCTGTGGCTTTTTGAAGGAAATGATTCTGAGAATATGTCAGGGTCAACTCTTTATTCTGAAATAGAGACTCTCTAAGAAGACAGCATCCAACAGTAAATGTGATTGCTCAACAGTTGAGTAGAAGGAACGACCTGGGACTTTTAAAAAAGTAAAGATACTTTAAAAATGGTGATGGGTTAGGGTGGGATTAAGGACAGAAGTTGCAGTGAGCATGTGCATAAAGTGTCGATAGTGACTAAAGCGCTGTAGGAACATGTGTTTGAGCATAGACCATGTCCTGACAAATAACATAAAGCTTTCTTCCTTTGGAACATGGTGGTTAATTCACATGCTGTGAAATCACGCAACCTGGGGACGAATTCCAGCTGTGGCACTTTCTAATTTTGTAATTTTAGGCAAGTTACTTATACTTTTTAAGGCTCTGTTTTCTCATTTGTAAACTAGGGGATAATAAGTACTTCATAGGGTTGTTATGATGACTCAACATAATCATCCATAAACATCAATAAATATTGTCGTCATTGTTGACGTTATTATTTTGATAGTGTATAACTTACTTGATATAGTTATTAGGGTTTCCTGTGACATTATAGAAGAATTTTCAAGAATGACAACTACTTTAAGAGCTGCCCCTTTTGCAGTTTAATAGAGTCATGAAATGGTGGAAAAGACTAGCATATTTTTATAAAATATCAAATCATTTTCATTTAAGAGACAGTAAAGGTGCTCATAAAATCAAGATTATAAAAGCAAGCCTTCTAGTAAATAATCATGAGTTTATATGTATTTTCAAAAGTGCACAAATTTGTACAAATGATAGGAGAACATATTGATTTGTGTGTGTATTTCAAGCAACCTTCTTGCACACGTTATGCCTGTGACCGACAGCATTCTCCCCTGGGAAAGTGGCTTCTCTAATTGCAGTGAATGGTGATTCTATTTGTAGATCTTTTTTCCTACAGCATGCATTCCTTTATGTAGTTATTATTTTAAAAATACCTGTCCTCTAATTTACTTAGCCCTCGTGGTTATAAAGTAGAAAAATCTCCAGCACCACAGGAACCTCACAGATAATATACGTGAGTTAAAACAAAAATCTGTTATCAAGTCTTGGCAACAAAATAATCAGTTTTCCTGCAACCCAGGGACTACAAGGCGCATTTCAGTATCGGAGATTCTCAACTACAACTTAGGCCAGGTACATGTTAAGAAAAAAATAAAACAAAGAAAAATCAGAGCACAAACACCATTTGAACTGCCAGGGCATTTTTTCCTCCTTCTCCCACATCATCTCTTGCCTATAAACAAAAGCACAACTTTTATACCAAGGGGAAATCGACAGCAATAGGACTTACCTTCCTTCAACCAAGAAATGTTATTTTTATCATTTTCAAAATGCTCAGCTGTTCTTACTTTTATCTTTTCCAGCTCAGTTTCTGACATCTAAGTGGAAACAGAATTTGGGATATAAAGAATTCATTAAGAACCCAAATTTATGACATTAAGCTTTATATTTAGAGACGACTGCCATATCGTGGGAAAATTTTTATCAAAATAGTTTTTCAGTTTGCTTTCTTAATGCTAGGTCTCACATTTTATTCATTTGTATTCTTTTAAAATTTCAACATTATAAACTTTATATATTTCATTTTTAAGCAATAAAGATTTCTATAGAATCTACTAATTTCTGAATACTAAAGAATAACAGATTAGCACTAAGCCACAGATTGTAAAAGCAAACATGCAGTTGTTGTTTTATTATGGTTTAATAGCCTCTAAGAAAGCATGCTGCAAAGTGGTATACAAAGATATAAATAAGAATAAGACACAAAAGGAAATTTTGGCAAATTTATTAAGTCAAATGAGGACCTTATGACCTGAGACATGCCGAGTTGCTCTTTTTAAAGGTGTTGGAAGACCTATTATGCACCCTCAGTGCATTGAACTTGGCTGTCCTGGCTTGCTCACAATGAGCAAGGATGCTCCCTTGAGCGCAGTTAGCAAAAACACCGCAACATACTGACCTGTGTATTCCAAAAGGAGAAGGCCCAAGGCGTGGGACTGGGGGGCAGCTTGGCGATGCTCTGGGCAGCCTTCCTCTTGTCTCTGAATGTCCAGCATTCCTTTACCCCAACAGAAGTGAGCGGAGAAGAAAACACACTCCGTCCCTGGGTGGTGCTAGATTTGTATTGCTGCCAGCAGCATCCAACTTGCGACTGAGAGGTTTTTTTTTTTAAGGTAATATAAAACCTGTGGTTCAAAACAATAAAAACCCTCTCCAGCCTAGCTTGGGGTAAAAATAATGAACTCTTTTCATATTGATGGAGTTTCTTTACTCCCATTCTTTCTACAACCCCCATTCATTATTTAGGGTTAATGTTAAAAGATGTTGAAAAAATATTAAAATGTACACAGACTATTTGGGTTCAGATAAAAGGAAGGGAAACCTCTAAAGCTATATTCTCTGGAAGTTTATCCTGCAGCTGATATTTTGGAGAACACTTTTTCTAACTATTTGTAGGCAACAAGATAATAGGGAAAACATTTCAAGTTCTTTTGATAGTGAGTAGCTATTCCAAAGAAAATATTGAATAACATTCCAAAGAGGATTGGTAATGAGATTCTCAGGCAAAGATACACTGTTTTCAACAAAAGGTTAAAAAAAGAAAAGCATAATCTTTGGGTATGTGTGATGGAAAATAATGTTCAACATTCCTAAATGTTTTCATTTTTTCCTTCATAGAAAAAAAAATTATTTTTTGGCCCAAGAAGGTTAGCCTCCTACGGCATCTTTACCTAAACAACTGTTGTAGCCTGTTACCAGATTTCTTGTATCCATTCCACTTCCTTTCTCAACCTCATTTCTTCTTGTACTTTGCTCCCAATATAATTATCTTTAAAAACTATCTTGATCAGCCAATTTTTATACCAAAATAACTTCAGTTCCTTCCATTATCAGTAAGATACATTCCAGATTCCTTAGACAGCTAAGGAAATCTTGAATGGTTGGATTCTATAATGTGATTTTCAAACTATGGCCCACAGAATCTTAAGATTTCTTGGAAGTGCTGATAAGTCTTTTATGCCAGTATAATTGGATTGCTGCTGTTCCTTGAACATACCTGTTCTTGTTATTAACCATTCCTAGAAATGTTTTCTCAAAATCCCATCTCCTTATCCGGCTTGAAGCCCTCTTGATCTCTTTCATCTGGAAATGATCTTTCCCTTCTCTGGCCCCACTTGGGACTCTTGGTATGGTAGGTCTCCATTTTGTCTTATGTAAACTTGTGCTATATTTCTAACAAGACTATACTCCCCCTGAGAGATCAGCTGCTATCTCAGTATTATTTCTCAGTATTTAACATGATTCATCCACAAATTAATAATTGTTGGATGCATGAAACCAGCATATTGAAAATCGATAGTGTTTTCCCTTGTCCAAAGTCCTAAAATATACCTGATTACTAATTTCCCCCTTTCCTATGGTTATATCTTTTTATGCCCCTTCTTTGTACATTTGGAGACCTAATCTAACTCTCTTAATAGTTTAGCCATTGTCCTTTGGACAAACAAGTTATTTAAATTTTATATATTAGTGGGGTCAGTAATGCAGTTAGAAATAAGAATCACATTGATTTTAAAGCAATAAGTAGAGGCAATACAGGAACTAAAGGAAATTTAAAGTGCAAATATCTAGATAAAAAGAGATAATCGAGTACCCGGGAGAGAATGGATGGGCCAGGGGCACAGCCGGACATGTAATTCCTTTAGTTTGCTTTCAGTTCCATTATGTTATTAGACCATATGATTATTAATATTATTCCTCAATAGAAGTAATGTGTTTGTGAAGTTTCAAGATGAATTTTGGACCTCTGGAATGTTATAAATCATGTACCCCCCCCTTTTCAGGCGGAGAGCCCCACTCCTACGAGCGAGCATACTATGCTTCCATGTTCACAATGAAGTCTCTTTGAAATTCTGTGATCATTTTAATATATTTTATTTGGATCCCACTAAACTGTTTTCCAGTTATTTTTCCCAAAAGCAACCCATCCCTCGAATCCTTGTCCACATTTCTTACTTTGGGGATTATGCATTACTCTTTGATTATGATTTATTCTTTAGTTATTCTTGATCTATAAAAGATTTGTCAGTTGTTTTACAACTGTGATTAAAAAAAAAAAACAAAAAATCCCATTGCCATTGAGTCGATTCTGACTCATAGCGACCCTGTAGGACAGAGTAGAACTGCCCCATAGGGTTTCCAAGGAGCGGCTGATGGATTTGAACTGCAGACCTTTTGGATACTACTATATAATTTTCTGAATCCCTGTATTGTTTAACTAAATTACAAACTTTAAAATTCTTGTGCAAGATTTGTTCTGAGGAGGGAATTACGAAAACAGTGGGCTAGTTAATATGGAAATATCATCTACTTTTGGTTTGTGTGTTTTCAGCTTGTGGTCAGGTCAAACACTTGGAATTTTTCTGTTGTTTCACTTTGCTTTATCATTTTTCTCTGCCTGGCTTCCCATTTTCCTTCTGATTTTGCTATTGGTTTCTGTCTGCGAGAGTATATGACATAACTTGCGTTTTCTCCCTCTATATTTTTTCGTTTTGTAGAGTCCCATTCTAGAAGTTAGAAAACTGATTTTGAATTCTGTTCTTTGTAGGATTTGTAACCATTCTTTATGAGAGCTGTGGACTTTAATAAACATAGTATTCTTTTTTTTTTTTAAATCAAGACCATCAGTTAAGATAAGACTTTTTCCTGAATCAATTGTGTATCACTAGTGTTCTTGTAAGACATTGCATAAGGGGTATTCAATGTTGAAGTCAACCTTTAAACCATTTATTCATCCACTTAGTAATATTGTTGGGCTGCAAAATTCTCTGTCTGGGTGATGGACTCTGGATTCGACTAGGGTTTTAGTCTCCTGAACTGGACTGGACCTTGGCATGAATGTGGTGAGCCCACATTTGACAGCAGGGAGTAAAGAGAAACAAGCCTGATGAGTCCCAGGTAGAGTAGATGTGGGACATAAAAGATATTCTTGAGGAATCTGGCTCCTGGTTAAAAAACTTATGTGTGATTTTTCAGGCCTTGACCACAAGCAATTACAAAAGCTTTCCTGGGAAAAGTTGCCCTTGGTGCATAGTCAACGCATTGCCATCTCTGAAAGGAGTTACAGTTGAGGACTCAGGTCCCTGCCCCCCAGCCATGGTCTTTCACATGTCTGCATTCCTAGCCCAGGTGCCTTACAGGGAAGGCCTCCTTACACAGCACCTTAGGCAGGGGGCTTTCTCTTTGTCATGGGGAAGTTGGGAGGACCTTCAAGACACGTTTTCCCACTGTGACAGAGTATTTAGTACTTTTCCACTACTATCCCTTCCCCCTCTCCTCCCAACCTTGGGGTCCATAAACCTGTAGGAGCCTTTTGTTCGGGGCTCCCGCAGCAGTGAGATGGATCCCCACATCTACACTGATCTGTCTGTGCATACTTCCTACAGAAATGTGGAAAGGGGGGGCAGATGCCTTCTCTCCGGGTTAGATCTCTTGCTTATACTACCATAATGCGTGATTAAAGACTTCATGGTTGCTTTCATATTGACTAGTTGTCTTCATCAGCTACTCAGACACCTGACCCCTGAGCTCTGCTCTCTCCTCAGCCCAGTTCCCTGCCAGTCCGAAATGTAACAAGCTCATAAGTGACAGGTTGTCACGCCAATCTGATGAGACTCCAAGGAGAGTAAACACTTTTTTTTAAAAAAGAATCCCCTGTCCAAATAATACTGATTGTGCTCATTTAAATTATGAGCTAAATAATTCAGATGCAAGAACGTGGTGTCAAGGCTAAAGTTTTTTTTCTTAAATTCTGTTTTGTTTTGTTTCTCTTTTTGAAATAGAGATAAATTTGAATGTATATATATTTTTAATAATTCTATTTCATTTTGACTCATACATCAATATTTGTAGTTCCTATTCAAAATCTGATCCAGAAATAGAATCTTTAAGGGCAAACCATCCAGCAGAAGACAATCTTTGCCAAGAGAAAAACCTGCAAGGTCAGCATAAGTTTCGTGTTCTTTTTTCTGTTAAAATATAGTTGAATGTATGCAGCTAGAGCTTTCTTTAACAAACAATTAAATATGTGCTATCATATTAGTCTTTTTGATGGTTTTAAAAGGCATCTCATTGTCACTTGCCATGGTTTTTAAAACAATGAAATTATGTGTATAATGTAACAATATGATATTAATCAACATATAGATACTCTGCTAACTCAGATGATTGGATTCAAGCTCTCTGAAGGTTTCACGGAATGGGCTCAGAGTAACCCGTATGGGAAGGTGTACTTCCCTTTTGGAAGTAGATTTTCTGCTACAGCATAGAGTCTCTATTATTTAATATAGTTTATTAATTGCTTTTCAATAGCCATTCTAGTAACCAATATGTACCATCAGATACTTTATATTTTTTAAAAGTCTTTTTGGGGTTTTGTGGCTTTGATGCAAGAACACACATGGAGTAAATAGACATTGGTCCAAAGTATCAAAGGCAACAGTTAATAAAACAAGAAGCACATTCCAATTTGTGACACAAGATCCCCAGGAGGAAAGTTACAACTAACTTCATAAGGCAGGTATACCTGTTTAAGGATTCATTAGATGTTACATCACATCAAAAGGTCAGGTATGAGAAGTAACACTTAGGGATCTAAAATGATTCAACGTTTATCCTCATATCATGCTCAATAATTAAATAAAAGCTGCTTACCTTAACCAAATTATTTTTATACCTTACCGAGTTGTCCTTAGTGGCTTATATCTTGACCACCATTGAGAAGTGACATAGGAATAAACATGTGAATTTATTATTTTTATACATTTTACTTCTACAAATGCTATAATCCTACAATGCAATGTTTTACACACACACATGCACAAACATAGGCACATATACACACATACATACACACACACACACACACACGCATCCACCACCACCACCAGTTGCCATTGAGTTGATTATACCTTATGATGACCCCATGTGTGTCAGAGTAGAACTGTGCTCTACAGGTTTTTCAATGGCTA